TAGGAAAAATCCACGTCCGTGAAGGCGAAGCAGCAGAGCCCCAGCCTCAACCTCACCGCTTGTTACTCCTCTAAGCGACTGGCCTGCTTTCCCAGCCTCAGCTTTCTAATCTATAAAAGAGGAACGACCACCTGCCCTACAATGGCGCTGTTGGTGATCAAAGGTACAGGACCAAGGAGGCCTACAAACTTAAAACTGAGATGAGCCAACTCAGGCCTCTGCTGAGCAGAAGAGGGCAAAAGAGGGGAAGCCGACTCCAAGGTCTTGACCTGCACAATGCTGCTTGTTTTCCCATTTGCATCTATTCGTGAAAGTCGCCCGAATTCCTTCCTTGCATTTTACTTTTAAATGTATTGTTTTCCCTCTTGGATCTCATTCAAGAATCATTATATTGTTGGGCTTACATTCTAGGACATGCAGAAATAGTAATAAACAGAGCCACTTTAGATCACATGAGGGGCGGTTCCATTTCTAAAAACACATTCTAAAACACAGTCACTTTCAAAAAGTGCCCTCTGAACTAGCTGGGGGGTAAAAAGAGCAAGAAAATAGTCTTAACTACAGAATGTATTTTTAAGGAAATGCAGCTTTATTACTTTCAGGTACAAACAATAACTTGGGCTTGGCTAACCAAATGTTGCCTCATTGAAGAAACCTGCTTCACTGTATAGATATAAATGATTTATAGTTAGCATGATCACTCATGGGTAAAAGAAAGCTTTCCATGATGCAGAACAAAAAACACCTCGTCTTTTAGAGACATCTTGCCCCACAGTCACTCCACTATTTGCTTAAGCAATCCCTTCTCCCCACGCCCCCCAGACAGTTCAAATATAAACACCTCACTCCCCCTAGGTCACAACGTACACCAAATTAGTGAAAAACATGAGTTGAAGAATTCGACTATGTTGCTATAGATGTTGGATTGGTGAGACCAGTCTTTCCCAGCCTGAGCATTCTCACCAATACTCAGTCTAAATTACTGAAATATGTCTGTTCACTATGTGAGTTTTATCATCTGAATGAATCCCTTACCCGGCTTAAATATGCAAAAACACATTTTTTATTTGAGTACAATCGTGAAGAGTAGAAGTAGCTGGCTTCTTTAAACCATGACAATTCAGTGGGTTTACCCGGGTCAGGATTGCAGCACTAACTTTAACCAAGTAAACCATTGTAGGGAAGACTGGAAACACATCAAAACAACTTGACAGCAAAACACCTTTCTGCACTGAGCACGGTCACTCAGCCTGATTAAACTGATGCGAGTGGTGCAAAGACTATCCAGTAATCCATTCGAGGATTTATCCTGAAAAACCTTCACACTCCTAGAGTAGGCATGCAGAACCCCTGATCAGACACACTGCCAGAGATGGCGAGTGGGCATTCTGTCAAGAATGCTGATCTGTTCATCAGACAGTCCATCTGGGGACTGAATAATTCGCAGCAGTGCTTTGGTTGTCTTAAATACCCTGGCAAGCACCAGCATAACCAGGTACGAAGGCTGTGTCAACGGGACAGGCCTAAAGGGCTTCTCCCCTGTCCTGACAACTCCATGTCCCTAAGGGCAGAGGTGACAGTGTGCCCTGCCCCTGGCTGCCTCCTGGCGCGACGACCTGTTTCTCCACATTTCCCTAAAGAGAAAGGCTTGCAAGAGGCCCAGGGTAGGAGGCACGAAAAGCTAGAGGAGTGATGGTTGGGAGACTCACCCCTAGGCACCCAAGGAGCCAACACACACAATCACAGCTTCAAGCTGCTGGCTGGGTTTGGCCAAAGCAATGTGTAAGGCCAGACTCCACAATCCTTAGCTACTTCTGTTTGGTCAAAATGCCTAACCTAACAGAAACAATTTCTTCACATCTAAAATAATACTGTTTCCAAAAGTATTTCTTTTCTCCCTAAGACATTTTACAAATACAGAGCAGTAACCATTCCCCCCAGAGCAAATACTAGATAATTACAATCCTCATTCACACTTTACACTGTTTTCAACAGCCAGAACAGTCATTTTTAAACTATGAGAAATGAAGTGCAAACCTTAAAATTTCATAGCAATACTCTCCACCTTCCTCTCATGAAAAGCTATCCAAACAAGTGAACGTACCCGCGGAGCTTCCTCAAGGTCTAGCCCTTCCCTGGAAGAGGCATATTTCTCTGATAGGTCTGAAGCCAGTTTTGACATCACTGACTACCTCAAATAATGGGGCTGGGAGAAACTAGTTTGCTTTGGAATGGGAACAGTCTGCTAAAAACCTCACACTCACTCCGCTCTCCTGGACCCCCGCCCCCACCCTGGAGCCTGGGTTGTTATGGTACCTGCCACCACCAGTGTCGCCCAAGAAATCCAATGTGATAAAGAAGGATGGAGCCTACCTGCTCATGACTCAAGAATTTTTCAGGAGCAACAACATTCACAAAAGAGACAGAGGCAATGAATTCCCTTGCCCCCATTAAGGAAGGAGGCAACCGTCATCGCAGACTGCCAACAGCTCTCTCACTTAGAGAAAGGGGACTAAACAACTACGGCTTCAGTGATGCCCCCACTTCTCTCGCCGACTCCCGACTTGGCTTAATTTTTTTTAAAGGATGAGTTAGCTTCCTATTTTTATAAAAGCTGGCAGTCGTATGACTACATCTAGCATCCATAAAGCAACGGAATAAAATGCTCAGGTGAAAGGAAGGCCTCTGGTGAGGAGGAACTGAAGTTAGCACTCCAACCCCTGCCTCGAGGACTGCTGTCAAAAGCAGCCACCCTCAGCACCGCCCTGATGATAAATCCGGGGCTCGCCACTGAAAACTGAAGTGGCGCATACCATGCAAGTTCCACTTGTGCCACTTTCGAACACATTTTCCCAGAAGTGACTATTATTATAATTACTTGCTCTTTGAAGTTACTGGGTCTATCTCAAAGTGAGGGGAGAGGAGGAACGGTCATTAAATCAGTAATCTCAGCTATTGGCTCAGGCTGGGTGAGAAGGAAAAAGTCATTTACCCTCATTGCCCAAAGTCGCCTGCCAAATAGATTCCAGCTGCAATTCTGGTTCCATTTCTTGGAGGACCAAGGAGAGCTCATGCACAAAACTCAATATGAGATGCACCAGAGGACGGAGGAAGACAATGTTTTTTTACCTATTCCCTTAGAGTCTCAACACAGATATTAACTAAACCTGTCCTTGAAGCCAACCATCAGTTCTCTAAAACAGTACCTTCATGGCAGCCAGCAGGCCACTGTCAGGCTGTTGCTAACGCAGATTCTGGGACAGCTGTGTCCCCACTGTAGCGTTTACACCATTCTCAGCTCTGCCAGGGGCCCTTTTTCCCCACCTAAAATGGATATGCTTTATATTACAGTCAGCAAGAAGGATGTATAACTCACATTCCCAGGCGGAGGCTCTAACTGAGTTCTAGTTCTTATGTTCATTTTCAAACTACTTTCCTGTTGGTGAATGAAATACGCATATGCCCCCTCACTCTCCTGTAACACAATGGGAAATGGTTGAATTTTTCCTACCTCTTTCTCCCTCCACTTTATGTTTGTGACAACCATGTTAAAACATTTCCACTGCTGGGCCGGCCGAGTGGCTCAGTTAGTTAAGAGTGAGAGCTCTGAGCAACAGGGTCGCTGGTTCGATTCCCACATGGGCCAGTGGACTTGGAGCTGAGCTAGCTGCGCCCTCCACAACTAAGACTGAAGGAACAACTCGGCTGTTCCCTTTCCCCAATTCCCCAATAAAATCTTTAAAACAAACAAACATTTCCAGTACTGTGCTGAATCACAGTACTCTTTAGCTTTATAGGAATACAAACTGGCAGCCCACAGACATGATTTTTTTAGCCCACTGTACTTTAAATTGTCTTCAATTAGTTACCAACATTTTTAAAATTAGGGAATTTCATATAAAATTCTGGATTTCTACTTCCTCCCAAAAAATCGGCAAGACCTGCCAACACTGGACTCGTTTCTGCCTAACACTTAGAACTGAGTCCTGATAAGCTTTCCGTAGTTCAGCACATCCTACCCAGCATGCTTCACTCATTTATGTTATCTGCATGGCTCCCTGGGCATTTGTGTGCGTGAAACCTAATCTAGGGCAATTCCTTTATTTTAAAGATAAAGAAAATGAGGACCCAGGGATAGAAAGTTAACTTGCCTGAGGACACACATCAAGTTAGAGGTAAAGGAGGAAGAAAACTCAGGGCCAGGTTATCTTTCTAATATAGCACATTTTCCTCTCTACAGAACCCCAAGTCCTAACAGCATTGCTTCCACCAATTATTTATATTTTCTAAGTAGAGTATGTTATATTTTCTATATTCTCCTTTATCCATCCTTTTCATATATTTCATTTCCTTATAGCTGACAACTCTGTATCAGTGAATTCATTTATGTATTATCTCCAACCCCAAAGAAACAATGAATCAGGAACAAGACAAAAGTCTGGTGAAATACCAGACTTTTGAACAAAGTGCCATACCAACTTTTGCACACCTCAGCAAATGCAGGACCAAGAGGAATCTCAGAAATCACTTAGCTTAACAACTAGCCAGACAGACAGGAAAATGGGGCCCAGACAAGCGATATGCCTGAGGCTGTAGGTTTCCTAGGTAACAGAACTAGTCTTCAATCTTCCACCTCCGTGCTCTAATCCACCATGTGACCTCTGTGCAGTCACCTAGGCTGTGGGGGACCTACAGCCAGCTTGCTCCCGACAGAAACCAAAACTACAGAACTCCCTCACATCTCAGACACAGCCAACCGTGACTCTGCCGAGAACCTGGGGTTAGAATGCATTACGAACAACTTATTTATAGAATTGGATTTGTACTGGAAGGCAGATTGCCTTTAGAACTGATATTCGGTGGAGAATTTTCACAGGACTTGGTGGTCTCAGTAACACTGGCTGTTATAAAAGCTAAGCCTCATGTGAGACAAGTTGCTGTAAAACATCATAGCACCTTTGCTTCAACTTCAAAAGAAAAAAAAGGCAATAGTAAAAAGCTTTAATAGACAATGTGTTTTTATAGGCAACCAATTAGCAGATTAATGAACCGCTTAAATTTCTTTACTGAAAACCAGTATTCAATAAAGATGAGCCCGAAATGCATCCTCTTATACCAACCAACATAAGTACAAATGAAGTCAACGGTGTACCCCATTAGCATGCTGCGTTGTATGTCCATAAAACGAGCCCTCCCCCACCCCGAGCCCTGGCCCCCTGGCAAACATAGATAAATGATTGTGCACTGCGTGATGATACCATTAGGTGAGAACTTTGGTTCATGCAGTCGGCTGCCAGAGAGGTTGCACCCAAAACCTGCAGCCCCGGCACCCAAAGTCAGTCACGGTGGTAGCTCGTGGCATCAGCCGTGCTCCTTCCACAACACCAGGTGAATACTGTGGTCAGGCATGCTGGTGGCAAAGACCAAGCCCGTGTCATTGTGCCCGTCCAGTCCATTCAGCCAGGACGCTTCGCCCGCCAGGAAGCTTGAGCCTCTCTTGGATTTCCTGTACTCTGGCAGGGGCCAGCGGCTAATCAAGTTCTCTGTCCGCAAGTCCATGATATACAGGTAGCGGTTGTCAAACAGCAGGGCAAAGACATCTCCAAAGCCAAGCAAGGCCAAGTTTGCTATCTCAGGAGTCTTGATGACCCTACAAGGTTGAGAGTTAGGAAACATGAACCAGAAGGCAACTTTGCTTTTGTTTCTGCTACTGTAATCTTTTCAAATGAAAGTTTATGATAAAAAGGAAAATATGAAGACAAAAAGGACAGTGTAAGGGCGGGAGGAGAGGGAGAACCCTTCATAATGCTATAACACAAGCATGTAAAGAAGAAGGCAGTATTTGATAAACATTTATAAAAGCACAAAATGCCCATTCAAACTGGAAAGGATCTTACAGATTTAACATTCTCATTTAACATTCTCATTTCTAAGATGCAAAAGCTGAAGTCCGGCAGGGCAAATACTCTGGCTAAGGAGTCACAACTACTCAGTCCCCAGTTAGAGCTAGAATAGAAGACTCAACTGTTACCACCAGGTGAAAAGATCTGTCCATCAAATCCTAGCATGCTGGCCTAAGGGAGCCTCCTGAAGCCTGGAACAAAGACTGAAAGCCAAGTGACTGACGTGCTCTTCTAATGAGCAGGCAGCAAACACACAGGTTCCCCCTGAAACAGCAGAGGCCGAAAATATTAAAAGTTGCCCAAATAATTTAGAAACATTTATTAATAATAGATTCATAAGAAGTTATTAGAGAAAACTGGGGGAGTTGGAAGGACAGCCTTAACCTTCTCAGGTTGGCAGTTCCCAAAATATCAATGACAAAGGTACAAAATGGGAAAGACCTAGCTAAACAGCTGCAAAAATGAAAACACAAACAAACCAAAAAAACTTAAGTCTCTGTTGTCTGCACAGTCATTGAGGTAAAGGTTGACAAGCGAAGTTGATGTCCTCTTTGGAGGCACCACAAAGAGCTACAAGACAAGTGACATAGAAATTCTGCTCTGTGACAGTACCATTGGGCCCAGTGAGAGGCCAGTTAGCCTATGTGTTAACAAGGACACTACCAACTAGCGTGTGTCCAAGAGGTTAACCGGAATGGCAGGTCCTGGTAACCAGGGCAAGTAAGAAACAGCTGAAGGAGATCAGCTGAGGGGGAGAAAAAGAACTGGCAGGGACAGGGATACTCTCCCTGACTGTCACCTTTAAATGGTGAGGGACGCATGAGGCCAGACAGTACAAGTTCTGGGAGAGAGAACTGGGGTCCAAGGGAAAGGGGTACACGAAAGCAGATTTCAGTTTGATGTTAGGAAGGCAGGGGGTTTAGTAGAGAAGACGACCTGTTCCTTAACACTCAGCCTGCCCCAAACTGAGCTTATTAGCCAAACCTGTTTGTCTTCTTTACTGCCTTGGTTGCTCATCCACCCAGTTGCTCAAGCTTGGAAACATGGCAACCATCCAACTCTCCTCTTTACTCAGACAATAAATGTAATCACCAAGATCTATTGATTTTACCTCCTAAATTTTCCTCTAATGTATTCACTACTGTCTGAATTGACACAACTCTGATCCAAGACATTGTCTTTCACCTGTACTACTGCCAAGTTTTCAATTGGTCTCCGCACATCCACTCTTGGCTCCTTTCAATCAGTTAACCTCAGACTAAAATCTAATCCTATTACCACCTCATTTAAACCTTTCTATGGCTCTCTATTGAACTCCCATCTCCATCCACACTGGCCTTCATTCAGTTCCTCAAATATACCAGGCTCTTTCAGTCTCAAGGCCTATGAACAGGCTGGTCTCTCGGGCTGCAATGCTCCTCACTGCACATCTACCCCTAGCACTGAGTGAATGCATACACTCACCCTGTAGAGCTCAGCCCAAATTTTTTCCTGAGAACAGCTTTCTCTTACTCCACAAACTAGGTGAGATCTCCAAGTACCCCGTACTACGCTGCTTTTATCCCAACCATTAATACATTTATGTGTAATTTGCTATTTAATGTCAGTGTTCCCTCCTGCTGGCAAGTATTTCTGCTGGTTCCCAGGGTGCATCACAATGCCTAAAACACAGGTAGCTGTTCAGGAAGTATCTGCCAAAGAACAGAGCAGTGGTGCAATGAACGTGGGCAAATAAAAATCCCTACAAAAGAGATCTGAAGGAAACTGGGAAAAACAGCAATGAAGTCTAGTGCATCCCACATTGTCAATGCAAAGCAGGAAATAGCCAGAAACTTAGAACTGGGTGGTTAGGGGACAGGACTTCAGCCTGGTAAAGATGAGCTGACTCCAAAGGCTGAAGCACAAATATGTTGCAGGATAGAATACAGGTTTCGACAGAATCACAGCCCCTTTTGGTTACTTTAGAATTGTAGCAAGACATCCCTGTGGTGCTGTCTGGGCCCTTGACCCTAAATAACCCTGCCTGCTATAGTGAGATAACCTAGCTCAAGAGACTGCATCATATCTTAGATGTATTGAGCAACGCACTGCCATTTATGCTTTGCTTTTTAATTAGCTTCAAAACCCAAATAGCCCTACCTGGTCCTAGCAACTTTGTACTAAGATTTCAAAAGAAGTTGGTTTATTTGTGTTTGGGTGGGGGGTGGGATGGGGGAACAGGAGATAAACTAGCCCCTTTTCAAAGAAAAATTTGAACCTAGCCCTTCCTAGCAGCAAACAATCTTGTAGGGTTATTGCTTTAAGCTTGTGGATCCAAATACTCAAAACTAACAGAACTTTCATCTGGGACACTGGATTCTCTATACTCTGTATTCTGAGTAAGAAGTGTGTGAGAAAGGATGACATTAAAACCTTTAGAGACTCTAAGCATTAAAAAGAGTATGGAACCTCTATTTTACCTTGTCTTTGTACCCCTCTCCCCCAAATTTTAATTCAAAATAAAAATAGTACTAAACTGTAAAAGATCTGCTTCCCCACAGTGGCTACTTGGATTTTTTTCTTTGCAAAAGTATCAAGTTCTTTCAAAAGTTCCTTCTCTCTGGCTTGCTGGTACCTTAAGCATGTCCTTGCTGGATGATCCAGCCATGGATGGATGGATGGATGGATGGATGGATGGATGGATGGATGGATGGATAGGTGGGTGGTGCATGCTGAACTAGGGTGAGCTGTGTGATGTTGGGTAAGGCCCCTAAGCTCCCACAGCTTCAGTTTCCCCATCTATAGGAAAAAGAGCTTGGACTAATGCTTTCCAGAATCTGTTCTGGCCTTTTCTTCTCAAAGCATACACAGCCTAGAAACCTACTTGGTTAGAAATGCAGATTTAAGTCCAGGGAAACATAACCGGGGTTGTAACTTTATGATCAGAGTGACAGGGTCCACCAAAGTCCTAGTATGAACAGATCCCGTACAGCAGGACCGCAGACAGTCATACATAAAACCAATGAAGAGAATGTTCAATTTTCTGTACCCCCCAAGTCAGCATTTCCTGAACCAAGCTGTGGAACAGACTAATTCTGTGAGCTGGTAACAGGTGTTCCTCAAAAAAAGAGCTAAGTGTGAGGTTGACCAAATTCAAACAGGTTTCTTTATGTAGGGCTTCTCAGAGCTATCAGTAATAAAGATCTGCCAGGTCCTGTGCTAGGTCCTCATTTACAGGCATTTCATTTAATCTTCACTTTACAGGTGAGAAAACTGAGGCACAGAGAGGTTAAAAAATTATATAATATCACACAGTGCATAAGAGATGGCACACAGTCTTAAACTACGGTTTGTTTATCACCAAAGTCAGTTCTCTTAATCACCATATGGCACTGGCTTCCATCAGCCTCCAATGTGCTAATAGATACCGCCAATCTCTACGAGGGGTCTACGGTATGCAGGGAATCACGAAATTATTTGTCCAAGAATGGACCTTTTCTTGTTTATTTCTCTAGAGAGAAACCCTGTAAGCCTATTTTTCTCTAAATACCTCTGTCTTTCTACTAGTCAACCGAAGGCTACTCGATCGCTCAGTGCAGAATTTCAAATGACTAGAAAGTAGAACTTAAAATATTAGAACTAGGGGAGATCGGAAAGATCTTTTCATCCAAGCCCCTCATTTTCCAGAAAACCATGTCAAATTCTGAAAGGGGAAGTGACTCAGAGTAAAGGGAGAGATTAGATCTTCCATCTTCTAGGTTCGAGCATATCACTCTTTCTAACTACCAGTAGCCTCTAAAACATTTTTATGTGTGAGGTTTTCAGTACATAACCCTGCTTATAACTGATGTAAACATTTCCCAAAAGCAAGTTATTTACTGGTTTATTCAAATATTTAGTTTTGTCTTTATTATTAAACTGCAACAAAAAAAGGAAGGAGAGAAGAAAGGGAGGGAGGGAACTGCAACAGACTATCACAGGTAAAGGTCCCAGGAAAGACTACCTGAGAATATCGTAACTGGCAAAGTCCCATTGGTAGAGGCCCAGTGCTGAACTACAGACGATGTATTTGCCATCAAAATGAAGTCTTGGCTGCAGGCAGATACTTCTATCCTCAGAGACTGACAATGTCTTTAAGCACTTGCAGTTGATTTCTCTCCCAATTGGCCAAATCTACAGATAAAAGAAAATTAGGAGAAATGACAGGTCACATCACCATAGAAAAGCTTGTCCTTAATGTGGTTTTTGTTTGCTGAATTCAGACACAAAGTGAAGTAAACTGGAAAGACCACAGGTTTTACATTTGAGAGGCACGGGTTCAAACTAATTCTGCATGTATGTGCTATGTTGTCTTGGGGAAAACACAACCTCTCTGAATCTCAGTCCCACAATGAAGATAATAATACCTACCACATGGAATAGTTTAAAAGCTGCACTAAGAATGTATGTAAGAGTGCTCTGTAAAGGTTTTGCAGATTTTTATTATTATTATATAAGTAAATGTTTATGTTTTCATAGTTCGAATATAAGAATTGAGGAGGTTAGAAGATATGTGTTTTAAGGAAACAGAATGTGTTGAAGATCACTTTCTGTGGAATTTCTTTTCTTCATTTACAAATTAGGGTTAGAAACTGCCTAGAACATAGAGATAAGGAGGAATTCTCTTTCCAATGGGTTTAAGATGGCTTGGACTAAGATACTCCTGCTGCCCTTGAAATAGTCCCCCTTTGCCACATCATTTTAATTTTCTTATATTTGCCAGTTTTTCTTTGATGAAGCAAAATAATGGAGGAAAAAAAGACAAAAACCTTACCTTGATTTCATATTTGTCTGCACTTAAGAGGATGTAGTCTCCAGGACTGTGCAAGAGAGACTTGACTTTGCACTTCTGCAAAACCACCTAGAAATATCAACATCCATGTTACGGAAAGATCCTTTTAATGCTACTTCTATATTGCTTTTTTTTTAAAAAATTCAAATGTGAAACAGAGCTTGATATGATATAGTATGCTACAATAGCTGAGCTATTAACTCTATGACCAAGTTAACCTCTACTAAGTTTTACTGCAACCAGTGTCTGAATTATCAGCAGGATCTAAAAGTGTCTGATGTTGGCAACATTTAATCTTAGCTTTGGTCTGGAATTAAACCTTAGGACTGATTTCTAAAATTATAAATTGTTACTTGTGAAAGAAAAAGCTCATAGACATAGAATTACATATAAATGATCTGTGTTTTCATAAGCATGTGCATTGTAAAAGAAAAATTACTGGACTTAGAACCAGAATCTGCCATGTATTGACTTTGTGACCTTTGGCAAGACTACCAAATCTCTGTTTCTCAGTTTCCTCATCTTTAAAATAGGGGATGGGACACTTATCATCTCACATAGCTGCTATCAAAATAAAATAAAACAATGTAAATAATAATAATAATAATAATGTAATAAATGCAACATTCCACTAGCACTTGGGGTAATCTATAAACACTAGGTTCTAGTTATTTTTGTAATAAATCAACACAAAGTGAGTGGGTAGGCCAGGCTCACTCATTCAGAAGCCTGGGTTGCAGATTCAACTGAAATGGACAAGCCCGTTAAGTACCAGGCACCCTGCTGGGTACTGTCCCATCATCTCATTCAATATTCACAGGAACATTTAGCAGGTGAAACTCAGGTGAAGTAACTTCTCTAAGGCATCACAGTGTCCTGGCCCCATGTCCACTGTTTTTAACACAACACCAAACTGTCTTAAATAACTTTTGTATTTAAATACTCAAAGAGCCCAATACAGAAATATTTTTTCCCAATTTGTTTATTGTGGTAAAATATGCATAACATAAAATCTATCTTAACCATTTTTAAATGTACAGTTTAGCGGTATCATCAATTTTGTCACAAATTGTTCTCTTTTTAGCTCCACCTATGTCAGAAAGACAAAATCACCCACCCAACCTAAAACCCACTAGTCATCTCTGATTCTTTCTTCTTTGTTCCCCATAAGTCGATAGGCTTTATCTTGAAGACATACCCTTCATGTGTGCCCTTCTCTTTCTTTATTGCCAGCCAAGTCCAAGCCATGGGTATCTTTTGCTTAGACTACTGAAAAGCTTAACTGGCCACCCTGTATCCACTTGTGCCCCAGTCTAATCCATTTTTCACTCAGCAGTTATTTTCTTAAAACATAAACCACACCAGACCCTTGCACAAAACTCGCCCATAGCTTTTTCTACTACACTTATGATATCCAAAATCCTTAATATGGCAAGTAAGCCATACATGATGGTTACCTCTCCCACACCACCTTCCCCACAACACAGCTCCACCACTCTTCTAGGTCATCAAATGTTCTAGTCTCTTTCCTACCCCAGAGCCTGTGCATACACTGCGTCATCTGAAACACTCCACTACTCTTCACACAGCTACCTCCAATTTATTCTTCACATTTTGTCCCCTCTCAAAAAGCTTTCCCTGAACAAATTAGATACCTTCCTAGACTTTCTCATAGAACACTACATTTTTCCTTCATAGCACTTAACACAATTTATAATTATATTTTTATAGGTAAAGTTACTGTTTAATAACTATTTCTCCTGCTAGACTAACATTTGTGTCAGGCCTGGGTCTGTTTGGCTCACTCCTGTATCCTCAGTCCCTTACAGAACGGCATGGTAAGTTCAAGTGTTTCTGCATGGCATTTCCATCATTCATACTGCATTTCATCCGCATAGCAATCTTTTTTTTGAGAACTAGAAAATATCACAATATTCTTTTAAAGATCCTATACATGTTTCTTTGTTCTACTTCTTACAAGTATTTTCTTTTTCAAAGTGAAAACTGCTTTTCTAATTAAACAAACACTATCCTAACGGGAAAAAAAGCACCCACAATCCCACAAGAAATAGTCATCTTCAACATTTTGGTGCATAAATACATTTAGAAACTGGTATCATATTCTACAGTTTTTTGTTTTTGTATCTGACCTGTTTTATTTGCTCCCTCTACGTACCTACTATATTGTGGGCATTTTTCCATGTCCACAGTCATTCATATTTACTGAGTGTCTTTTACATGCTGATCACTCTTGTACACATCATGCTTTGTGGCTGCATCTATTCCATCTTATGACTCACCTACCACTTAGAAGGCAGCATCTGCCATCCTCCACCTCACCCCCACAAAGCATGACGTTAAGATTTCTTCCTACCTTGGTGACCCATTCTGTGTGCCCGGTGAGTGTGTTCAGGCATGTCCCAGCAGATAAAGCCCATACTTTCACGGTGAAGTCTGCAGAGCCACTCACCAAGATATCCAGTTCATCATTGTAGTCGACACTAAACACTAATATATATATAACATACACAAAGTTACAACATGCCCATTTGAGGATCATTTATAATAGAACTCAGCAGCGTTTATTCTCCCTCGCAGCCCAATTTTATCATTTCTCAACCAGAGTTACTGTAAGAGCGGTGCTACTCAACTAGCAATTTTATGAGAAAAAAAATATATCCATTTCAAAATGCTTATTATTATTGCTTGTAATTCTAAAGGTGGAAAAGTCCCTGGAATCATATGTGTGCTAGCTTCAAAAGTGAGAGGCAAACCCAGTGTTGGAGACAGTGGCATTTCTTTTCAGGACTGCCCCTGGTCCTACACAAAACTTATGCAGGGAAAATAGAACATAGGTGGCCCTAGCCAGACTTGCACTGTTTATTGCAGCGAGACAGAATATCAAGAATATAAGCTGCAAAACAAAACAATACTATACAATACTCATTCTCAAGAAAAGCAGTATGAGAAAAACAAAACACAAACAAGGATCTCAAAGGTCAGGCTAAGCCATTCCCTCAAAACTGTATTTCCTCACAGCTGTACTCTCAACATCCAAACAATGCCTGAGTATATAGCAAGTACTCAAATAATTGCTTTTAAATGCCTGCAAAACTCTAAAGGAACACTGGGGACCCAGAGATGAAGACATTGGTCTTTTCTTTAAGGAACTCAGTCTAAGTGAGGGGTGGAGAAGGAAGTCCAAAAAAATAAATAAATGTTTACCTCTTGCTAGGGAAACACCAAGGAGAATGACTAACTCTGCCCAGGGGTATCAGGGAGGACTTCAGGGAAGAGGCGATATTGGAGATGGGCCCTGAAGGATGAGTAGAGTTTATCAAGAAAAGAAAGAGAATACTGCAGGTAGAGGGAACAGCAAAGGCATGAGTTAGGAAAAGCCACAGCAATGCCCAAGGAACAGCAAGGAGGAAACTTTTTAGAGCTAGGCTCTCAAAGTAGATCAGGTATAAAATCACCCGGAGTCAATGTATATCTTGATACTGTGGAATAGTACACTCAGCTTAATACATAAGTTCCACAGCAAATCACGTCTTCAAATAGTAATTTCTACAACAAACACGTGGTAGCAGATAGCAGGCTGAGGGAAAATATATCGGACAAACAAAATGGGGGAAAAAAATTGCTTTTAGCAATAAAATAGCAAGGTTTATTTCAAAGAATTACTGAATACCAGGTACGGTGCAAGGAACTGAGGACCTGAAAGGTGAAGAAGACAAGCAGGGTCCCTGTCCTTCGGGAGCTTACAGCCTGGTGGGGAAATCAAGATTGTCATACTTACTTGTATGATGAGTGTTATGGCAAAAATGCAGGTTACTGGGAAACCTATAGCAGAGGGACTCAACTGTTCAGGGAGTCAGGAAGGCCGCTCATAAAATGTGATGCGTAAGAGCCTAGACTGTGACTCCGTGGGGCTAACGCAGTGGGCACATGGAGAAAAGAAAGAAGGGAGCTACTGCACAAGAGGCTGGCAAATAGCTCAACATGATTTCTGCCCAAAATTCCAAAATGTGATACACAGAGGGAGACGCTCAGGTCTCAGGGCTGTAATCAAATGACCAGTTTTTGCAAACTAAGGCTGCTGTAAAATTATTAGGAAATATTCAAGTGTCTGTTTCTTTTATCTTATCTCTAAGCAGTGGTTTGTTATCAATTGTCAACCAAGTTCCAATTCAATGTAATATGTGTAGATCACACAATCTGGGGATGACCATCACTCCAAAAGATTCCAACCCTAATTCTACAAATAAAAGTAGACTGAATTTACAAGTGTAGAACTTAGTCAATTTGGAGGTACAAAATCTGTTAAAAGCAACGGGGACTGACTATTCAACAGGATGTAAATGAAATAGGAGAGAAGAACTGCCCCCTCCCAGCATAAAGGTACATGGGAGTTTTTAAATGAGCCAAGGAAAAGTAGAGTTAGGGGAAAAATTCCAAATAAGAATAACCTGAATAAAGGGATTAACTGTCATGACTAAGAAAGAAGAGGGGAGAAAGGCAAGTTCGATTAAAAAACAAAAACAAACAAAAAAGGGATCACATTCTTGGCTCCTGACCTTAAGGAATGAGGTTAAAGAACTATAGAAACCCTTGAAAAAAGGCAACCCACCCGCCCCCGTGTGCCCCCGGAAGTGCTGGGTTCTGGCTCCGGAACTCCATTCCCAGCAGGCCACAGTGTTGTCAAAGGAGCCTGTCACAAGCTTCTGCTCATCAAACTTCACTGCTGCACAAGTGTGGGTCTGGATGCCATAAACACACTGTCCTGTGCTCACATCCCATAGTTTTGCAGACAAGTCATCTGACCCTTCAAGGGAAAAACAGAGAGATTAGTAAGAAAGCAAGCACTGATGGAGAAGAATCAATCTAAAGAAGGAAAATCAATCCCCAAACCATGGTATTCTTAAAGAAGAACCTTAATGGTCACCTCCTCTAGCACATCCACTTTACAGCCAAGAAAACCAAAGCATGGAGAGGGTAACATGACTTGTTCAGTCACCAAAATGGTATTAACAGGGACTGAACGAGAGCTTTTTGGTTTAGTCCTTTCCCCTTAAGCTTCCAGGTTAGAGGAGTATTAGACAAAAGCATCCCCTGGTGCTTCTACTTGTAAAATTTCATAAATCTTTGACTATCATGAGCTCTGATTTGAGCTTAAAATGCTAAGTATTACCTATGACTGCATGTGTACACTTGCATGCCTGTCCATTACCCAACAACCCTGAACAAATGAAGAACGCTGGATGGTAAAGCTGTCTGCTGGAACACGTTCCACTCTTAGGCAATTCAAAGAGGAGCCTCACGTCACAGGTTAACTTCTGCAAAGGTTAACTGCAATTAACCTGAAATGATCTTGGGCCATCTTGAAACATGTCAAGGGAGCTCTAAGAAAACCAGGGATAAATTACTCCCAGACATTCACAACTCAACAGTGAGCTTGTATAGCCTCATAAGACCGTGTAGAAAAAAGTAGGTTTCATTTCTGCATCTCATGAAAATATTCTACTGATCATGGTGACAATGCTTTAATTACACTTAAAATCCTAATGATTAACTCGTATCTAGCCATTTACCTTTAGAAAAGTAGTAATAAGAATCAACAAAGACATTTTGAGGATACAAATATCATCACTATGACAAGAACATAGTATTCTAGAGAAATACCAAATGATCAGTTTTCAAAAAGCTGAAAAAAAAGTAAAGCCAGCCACAAATGTACCTGTAAGGGTTGGTCAAAAGCCACTGTTTCAGACAATGGAAAAATAGCTACCACTTAGAGGCAGAACATGAGTTTCAACCTGGGCAAATCCTACGAGAGCACAATGAAATGAAGACTCTACTTGTTGTATTTCGGTAGTCCATTTCCACTCTAGAAAACGAGGGGTGAGATTTGGTTGGTGGTTGTCAATGGGCATATAAGACATCAGAAACATCTGGGGAGCTTTATCAAAACATACATGCAGGGGCCTACCTTCTGAAATTCTAATTTAGGATATCTGAGGTGGGATCCAACAAACTTAAATGCTTGCCAAGTGATTCTAATGCATAAGCAATATTTTGAGAGCCAATGTGCTAAAACAGTGCTGTCCGATAAAATATAATGCAAGCCACATAGGCAATTTAAATTTTTCTATTATTTACTTGAAAAAATGAAAAAAAATATATAGTTTATTTAATTCAATGTCAAATTATCATTTCAACATGTAACAAATATAAAAATTATTAATGAAGTATTTTATATTCTAAATCTTCACAATCCAATGAGTATTTCACATTTCCCCTCTCAGTTTGGACGAGCCACAGCTCAAGTGCTCAAAAGCCGTTCAGTGGCTAGTGCCTACTGTCCTGGACAACACAGGTCTAGATAATCTTTAAGCTTGGGCATTTTGTGACTGTATTCCTAGGGAGCTAAAGCAGGAAAAGAAATCACTTTAAGTCCTATCTGACCTTGGTGCTGATTTATTGCCAGTGATCAACCGCGGTTGCATTCATTCCTTCATTCAACCTGTATGTCAGGCAGGGCTCCTGCTCTCATGGTGGGTGCTTAGTCTACCTGGGAAGCTAAACAAGCAATAAGAACTCAGTACAGTTAAGTGGTGGGCAGTAAAAAAGCCCATAGCAATACAGGGAGGGGATAAATGGAGAAAACACCTCAGATGAAGCTCCACTGAGTTTACAACTGTACTCCACAAACATGCCTTAGGATACTGGCTCCTCCACTATATTTGTATTTGTATTTAATCTGGACTTTGGCATAGGATTGAAGAAGGCATTTCATGACTTAAAAAAACTTTCAAATTTTAAGTAGTTGAAATCTAAAGAATGAGTAAATTAACCTTCCCCCAAAGGGACAGTATATACCCATGGTCAGCAAAACTTTTCAGTAGAAGACCAGATAGTAAATAGTTTAGGTCTTTTGAGCCAGATGGTGTCTCTTATAGAATTAATCTACTCTGCTGGATTTGGCCCTGCAGCTTGCAGACTGCCAACCCCTGATACATACCTATTAAAGTACCTATTAAGTATCTCTATATATAACATAAATATATACGTGAATAGACACTGGTGTCAAGTCATAAAGAACACTTGCAACCATTCTGAAAACTGCCTAGGAATTATTTACAATGCTTGTCAAAATGCACTGTCTAAAACACGGACACTGATTATAAAAGTAGTTCAGTATGACTGGGAAACAGTGGCAAGGTCTGGCTGGAGAACTGAGTCAAGAGGGTGTCTAACCATGACCTTGTTTGCATTTCTAAAAGATCACTATAGGTGCGTCATAGAAAATGGTTTGGAGGCAAAATGGGAGGCAGGAAGGCTAGTTAAAAACGAGGAGAGAAGAAAAACAAAATGTGGTGTATATATATATATATATATATATATATATATATATATATATATATATATATATAATGGANTATATATATATATATATATATATATATATATAATGGAATATTATTCAGCCTTAAAAAGGAAGGAAATTCTGACATGCTACAACATGGAGGAATCTTGAAGCTATTATGCTAAGTGAAACAAGTCAGTCATAAAAGAACAAATACTGTATGATTCCAACCATATGAGGTACCTGAGTAGTCAAATTCACAGACAGAAAGCAGAACAGCTGCCGCCAGGGGCTGGGGGAGTGGGAATAGGGAGTCAGTGTTTAATGAGTAGTTTCAGTTTGGGAAGATGCAAAAAGTTCTGGAGATGGATGGTGGTGATGTTTTTGCACAACAATGTGAATGTACTTAATAGCACTGAACTGTACACTTAAAATGATTAAAATGATAAATCTTGTTATATTTTACCACAATTTGATTTTTAAAAAGGGAGAAATTATCCAAATGAATTATTTAAACTAGTTTATACAGGAAAGCACTAGGCCATTCAGTTTTATACCCTAAAGGAAACACTGGAAAATAATCAGGTTGAGTTGAGACCCACTTTTTAGTGGTACGACTCTATTCTTAATTGCTGAGTCTTTAGGAGTCATCATTCTCTGCTCCCGTCTGACTTTATGTCAACCTTCCCTATTGATTCCCATTTGCTGTGATGACTAGCCCAGTGTTTTTACAAAGAGGTCACCAAGATGCAGCCTAGAAACAAAGAAAGGGGACTAAATAAATGAAGACTATTTTTCATTAGATGAAAAGAAAAAAAAGCCCTCCCGATTCAGAAAATAGGATGAAAACAATACTTTGATATCAAAAATTACAGGGATGGTTGTGTTACAAAGGTAAGCAGAAAAATGAGCTGAAGCCAAACGGAGTCAACGATCGTATCAAGCCAAGTTTAAATATTTAACTGGTAGAATCAGATCTCAGCTCCCAACTGCCACCCTGAGCCATTGACTTGAATAAACACCTACCAGTGCCTCTTAAGACAGGCAATTATCATTCTCCTTCTCAAAACTCTCTTCATCATTGTTCTGTTTCTCTACCTCTCCCCTGTCTCTAAGTACACTCATCAAGGATCCATTTTTCTTCCTCTCTACATCTCCTTTTAAAATGTCACAGTTACAGCCAAAGCTGCAATATGACTAACTCCTAACTCTTTCTCTCTAGCCCAGAGTACTCCCCACAGCTCTAATGCTGCATTTCCAGATTCCCGTGGGACTCTCCACTTACACATCCAACTGAATTAAGTTCATTCCAAACTGCACTCCATCTATCCTCTTGAGTTTATTCCTTCATTTTCTATTCTTGTTACTAGTACTATCTTCCCAGGTAAACATGCGGCTAGAAACCTCACCCTTTTTTGAAATCTCCCTTTTCCTGCCACATACCCAGTTGGTTGTCAAATCCTGTCAATTCTATTTCAGTGGCTGCTCTTCCATTCAACTGCTCCTCTTTAAAATCTCTACCCGTACTGTCCTAAATCTAGGCCTATTTTACCCTCATTTGAACTGCAACAGGCTAATACTTTAATTTGGAACCTCTAGTTTTCTCTATGTCAGAGGGTTTCAATAGAAGTATCATCTCCTCTGTACATTGAAGCTGCCGTTGAATATTATATGTCAACTATAATTTAATACATATATACTCATGGGATGTGGAATATAGTGTGGGAATGGAGTCAATGGAATGGTAATAGAGATGTATGATATCGGGGATAAGGTGGCAGTGGATGGGGGAGGGGGTTGTCACTTTGTGAGGGGTGAAAAGGGTAACTATTGCATTGTTTTGTACACCTAAAACTAAAAAAAAAAAAAAAAAAGTAGTATCATTTCCTAAGAAAACATTTTAGAAATTCTTAGCAGTGGCTTCAACTCTCATAATGATTGGGGGCGGGGAGCATTAATGGCATGTGCGAGGCAGAGCTGAGGAACGCTAGACATACTGCAATGATTAGGACAGTGCACAAAAGGAATTATCGTGTATTTTGCATGACATTCTTGAAGCTGCTGTCAGATATTCATAAGTGAAAAGTTTACTCTTAGTTATCTGAGCCCAGAGCCTGTGTTACAAAGCATATTTGCAGTTTATTCTGATTTTTCCAATACTGTAACCACATAAATTGAGGAAGAAATGTACTTTGCTTTGTTGGGAACTTGGCTAAGAGTTCCTCACAATTTGAGAAATCCCATCATGGATGATATCTGCGACACAAATACAACATTCTACATTTACAGCTATCAAGTTCAGTGTCAGCACAGGCAGGTGCAAACATCTGACGACATCACTGACTTCTAGCACAGATCCTTGAGCACTACATGTTTAATGTGTATTATTTTAAATTACAGACCTCTCATTCTCCTTAGAATAAAAGTTTAGGCATGATATTGATTTTTAAAAATATGTATATGTGTACATAAATTATTTCTATGAATTTTACTTCAAGATAAAGGGAATATTGCAAAATGTGTTATAAAAAGAGGACCTGGGTCTGAAAGAAATATGAAAATACTGGTCTACTGTATGTTCATATTTCTGATCCTGGCCCTTTTGCTACTTAGAACTATTTCATAGTTTTTTCTTAGTGTTTATAGAAAACTGTCCAAATTCCTGTTCCCACCATCTGAGGCTTTCACAACACAGCCCGAGCTTAGTCTTCAGATTACGATCTGACAATTAAGTTTGCAAACCCATCCTAACAAAAGTGCTACATACCTCAGTGCTGAATATCACTACGGTCGCCTTCAAAGTACTCCCCTTGGGAAGCTATGCACCGATTAGGCCAGCTAGACCAGCGCCTAGTCCACCCTTCAAGAAGCAATTTTGGAACTCTTTTTCTGGAATGGCCATCAGAGCTATTGCTGTATTACCCTTGATGTCCTGAATGTCATCAAAAAGTTTTCTTTTCAGTATTCCCTTTATCTTTGGGTAAAGAAAGAAGTCATTGGGGGCCAGATCAGCTGTAGGGAGGGTGTTCCAATACAGTTATTTGTTTACTGGCTAAAAACTCCCTCACAGACAGTGCCGTATGAGCTGTTGCACTGTCATGACGCAAGAGCCATGAATTGCTGGCAAAAGTTCAGGTTGTCTAACTTTTTCAAGCAGCCTTTTCAGCACTTCCAAATAGTAAACTTGGTTAACTGTTTGTCCAGTTGGTACAAATTCAATACGAATAATCCCTCTAACATCAAAAACGGTTAGCAACATCATTGCAACAAGCTTGCAAACTTACTTGTCAGGCCTCATATATCCTAAGGGTCCGGCTAAAATGAACTTTCCTCATGTTCCTCCTACATGCTCCATGCTTAGCCCTGTCCACACCATTGCTGATGCTGACCTTCCTACTGGAAAGCCTCTGCTCTGAATCTCATCTCTCTCAAGTCTACCCATTCTTCAAGACTCAACAGAAACACTGCCCGGTTTTCACAAATGGAAGAAATCACTCATTCCTCTGAACAACTATATGAATTTGTTTCTCATACAATTCAATTGTATCATTTGATCATGCCTCTTTTATTGGGTGTCGGAAAAGTCATGACACATTTTTGCAACGAAAAACATAGAAAAAATACACCATGACTTTTCCGACACCAGATAAAAAGCTCATCTTGCTTATCTGACTATAAGCCAGAGGTCGCACTATGGCCGAGGTCACAATACGGCCCAACCACAATATTTTTCAAATGTGAATAATACTTAAAAATCAGTACTTTTATTAAAAAAGAAAAAAAAGAAGACATTTCACAAACATCTACATTTGGAGTTTCTCTTAAAATGTCAGATCTGACAACTGTGAGCCTGAATCCCACATGGCAGTAATTCACTACACTGGAGCAGGAACTACCCTCTCTAGAAGGGCAGGTATTCTCTGATTAGCCATAGTCCACATGGAGACCGTTACTTAACCAGGTTACCTTCCTGAACCCAGTGTGTATGTTCTCTGCTCTAATTTATCTATGTATGCCCGCAAACATCTTTCACACAGAAGGCATTTTATAAATAAATATCTACTGAACAGCACAAAGAGGAACAGCACAATAGGTTCCTTTCTAACTATTTCTAAAATAAGCAGGATAGCTAACTCATTCAATCCATACCATGTTAATTTTAGCATTAGCCATCAATCTTTTTGGCAATACTACTTTATTGCTTGTTCAAGGGGTAATCTGAGTCTCTTTAAGCTTATTAGCAAATTCAGAATTTTGCAATTCAACCACAGTGAAATATAAGCTCTGAAGTAACAAGATGACACACTTGTGCAGGCATACCTCGGAGATATTGCGGATTCTGTTCCTAGACCGCTGCAATAAAGCGAGTCACGGATTCTTTGGTTTCCCAGTACATACAAATATTATGTTTACACTACACTATAGTCTATTAAATTTGCAATAGCATTGTGCCTAAAAAACAGTGTAAATACCTTAATCAAAAAATACTTTATTGGCCCAGCCAAGTGGCTCAGTTGGTTAAGAGCACAAGCTCTGAGCAACAGGGTCGCCGGTTCGATTCCCACATGGGCCAGTGAGCCGCACCCAAGCTGAGCTGCCACTGAGCTGCCAACAGGTGGCTCAGCTGGTGATAGCACGTGCTCCCAACAACAAGGTTGCCAGTTTGACTGCCACGTGGGATGGTGGCTACACCCACCCACAACTAAGATTGAACATGGCACCTTGAGCTGACGGCAGCCAGATGGTGACTAGACTTGGAGCTGTGCTAACTACGCTCTCCACAACTAAGATCGAAGAACAACTTGGCTGCTCCCCTTCCCCAATTCCCCAACACTGTTCCCCTTCCCAAATTCCCTCAATAAAATCTTTTTTAAAAAAATTACTTTATTGCTAAAAAACGCTAACCATCATCTCACCCTTCAGTAAGTTGTAATCTTTTTGTTGGTACAGGGGCTTACCTTCAATTTGTAAAGAAAAAAAAAAAGCAGTATCTGCAGAGCACAATAAAAGGAATCTAAATCAAACAAGACATGCCTGTATAATTCTATAACAAATACTTCTCTCATTAGTCACAGTCCCAGGGATGCTGCATTAGAAAAATTAAACTAATGCTTTGGATCATCTTCAATAGACACAGCATAATTATCAATAGGCAAATCTGATTCACTTAATCAGAATAAAAATAACAGAACATACAGACCCACCCAGAGAATAATCTTAAAATGCAAGGTCTGGTCCAGTTATTGTAGATGTTAACTTTCTGGATAAATAGTTCAGTGACTGTGTCCCATTCACTTCTGCTCCAAATAACTGAGATTTTATTGTATTTCAAAAGTAAAGTCTAATGAGAAATTAAAAAAAAAAAAAAAAGCTAGAGATGTTGCTCCAAAAAAGCCAGCTGCCAGTATTTACCTAAGTGTGAATGCGCAACAAGCTCAAAGGCACTACTGCATCTTAACCTTTAAAAAATTTTTTTCAAATACCCGCCATTGACCATGAGGCGAAGAGGACATGGAAAACCCATCACCACAACTGGGAAAGTATAGAAACGATGGGCTTGCGGGGGGGGGGGGGGGGGGGAATAATGTAAGCATGGAGTAAACTTCAGGATGACAGACAAAACCATGAAATGCCTTCCATTTAATGTGTATTTTACAAAACAAAGAGTCTAGTATTTCAGAGACTATACCACCACATGAAAAAACGTACATCCTCAATGAATAAAGAAACATAATATGAAAACAACCTTGAGAAATAATACAGCTAACTATTAAAAAAATTAAAATTGAGTCTGGTAGGACTCTGAGGGAGAGACCGGTTATTTAAGACTTTGCTGTAGGCATGGCATCCTTCAATCTATTTGGAAAGGACACTAAGAGGAGCTACAAAATCATTCATATTTCTGGATCTTGTGATTCCAATTCAAGGAAAAATAAATACAAGGAAATAAAAATAATTCAAGGGGAAAAAAACGCCAACAAAAATATTCATAAAAATAGAAATAACCTGAATATGTACTAATATGGAAATGGCTAAATAATGAGGATACATTTACACAAAGAACAGTATAAACTATTAAAAATGGCAACTACATAGTTTAGGTAATACTCAAATGTTTATTAGAAATTATCTTGGATGAAGAAAGAACATAGAGTATCCATATAAATTATATATAATTGAGGTGAACAGGCATTGGGATCATTGATAAAAACTGCCTACAGCCATTCAAAACACCGCCTAAGAATGATTTGCAATGCCTGTCAAAATGTATTGCCTAAAACATGGGCACTGATTATCATATGTACAAACACATACCCATTATAATTGGAAATTATACATATTCTAAATTTTAATGATTTTATATTTGTTATATTGAGTTACTTAACGGCCTAGTTTTAAAATATCCAACTGTCTTCGTTCCCATGCCCAGACTCTTTTAATTCTTCTTAGAGCCACAGGATTTTGGAGCAAGAAAGAAATACCTCCCTTCACATGTTTTATAGACAAGGAAACACACACAGAGAGGTTAAGTAATTCTCCCAAGATGATCTAACTACTTGCTTGGGCTAGACATCAACTTTTCCACTGCTTTTTCACCCAAATCACTGCTGACAGTAAATAAAAATTAAACAATATGGAGCACTGCACATGGGAGAAAAGTACGGAGAAAAGTAATTACAGCTTTCTGATTCACATCATGTTTAGAACAACGTCTGGAGCTTTCTTCTCATAAAATTTTATAAAAATGATTATCTTCTCTAGAGGAAAGGAGGATAAAGGGGGGGTAGGGTCCATTACAGATATCTCATATAATTAACACTTGCCATTCTCAAGCCTTAGGGGTAGATTGTTCTGTTTGTAAGATTACACCCTATGAAATACAAAAATTAAAAAAAACAAAAAACAAAAAAGAAAAACCAATTCCAGGATCTCCTACCTGTACAGAGAAGTCCATCTTTGTAGTAAAGTGCATACACTCTGGCACTGTGTCCAATTAATGATGAGGTCTCAAAGGCTTCATGGTCCTCCAGTTGCTTCATTCTCAAAATAGCCTTCAAATAAACCTTCTTCCAGTGCAAAGCGTCCTGAACAGAATCATCTATCTGCCAGCCCAAATTTTTACACGCAGTCTGCCACACCTCTGTACAGGCACTTATCACCTTATTCCACTGTTTAGAGACGAGGCAGCATGTGAGTAAAGTCTGAGGATCGAGCCACTTTAACAAATAAAAACTGAGCTCCAGGGGCAGGAGTTTGAGGAAGTCCCGCTTGAGGAGAGTCTCTAGGTTATTGGAGAGATGCCTGAGCTGGACTGCCCCACTCAGACTAATCAGGTGATCCAGAGTTTCATTTTTCTGCAAGTCCGTCAGAGAAAGAAATGTAACAGAAATGTTATCAAGCCATGTCTCAAAGTCCTTTCTCTCCATAAGGTTATGGAAAAATTTACCTGTGGCACATCAAAATATTGTATTAGTTCTGCTCAAAAAGACCGTTCAAGCAAGACTGCTAACAAATGAAGTATTAAAAATTAGTGTAAAAATCTGGCATTACAATTTTATCCTTAGTTACATTACAACTTTACAGTTAATACACTATATTTATCTGATATTTTCCCATGCACACAAAAGAAAATACATTTCAGAAAACATTCTTTTACAAATCATGATCTCTGAAACATAAGTCGATGAAAGTTATGTTGGTGTGTATGCCTTGCTCTTTTTGAAGTCTAGCACATGCTACATGCATTTTCACAGTTAAGATTTACAAAGCATTCATTCATTATGAAATGGTATATTCTATGTAACACAGCTCTCCCCCATCAAAACCACTATAACACGATTTCCTTAAATCACTCTACTTGGGCACGAAAATCACAAAAATAAGCACCACGATGTGACAACCAGAAAGCAAGTCTGGAGCAGTTATCATGCTAGGCACAACCTGACCTTGTTACCAAAATCACAGAACTGACTACTGGCTTTTGTAATAGATGTTCAGGCATAAAGGTTTGGGGGGGGGGAAAAAAAGCACATTTAATAAGTTATATGGCTTAGGTACTCTGGTTCTTCTACTTCCTTTACGGCACTGCCTGTTAGAACATGAATTACCAAAGGCCTTATTTGGCCATACACAGTCTGTTTTATAAGCCTTATATGAGCCGGTGACAACTCTTAACCATGTGCCCCTCAAAGAGTCATGTGGGTCCTGGGAGCCTAAATAAGACGAATTAATAATCCTGATGCTTACGAAACACCAAAAAACAGTGAATCATCATCTCCACTTTGCAGATAAGGAAGTTACAGGTTAGAGAAGGTAAGTATAATAATTTGCCTATACTCAACAGAGTATTAAAATAGCAGCAGAACAGACTACAGGCCAGTGCTCTCAAGAGCAGTACATTTCTGACCACACCAAGCTGTCTCTCTCTGAAATCAGCTACAACCAGGAGCATCTGTGATAAGGTCTAGGGCATTGTGTCTACCTGATTATACCACCTCCCTGCTTAGGAGAATGACAAGTTGCTCTAAGGCTAACTGGAACCAAAAAAATTTTACAAGTATCCAGCGTTACATAGTATCAAGGTTTCAACACACTCTTAACAATGAGGACTAAACTAACGGAAAGGAACAAGAAAAATAAAGCAAATCAGTAAAAACCATCTTTCCCAAGATTGGCCATATGTTGGTAGATGTTCGTGTTGGGTGATGGAGGTTTACCATTCTCTTTATTTTCATAGGTTTAAACATTCCCATGATTAAAAAAAGAAAAAAACTTTTCTCTAATCTGATCAGTTTCCCACTAGACTGTCATACAAATTTTAAAAATGTCCAAATTAATGTGGTAGAAGAAAATAAATTCCTTTCTATATATGTCATCTAGATTAGGACTACACAAAAAGCCAGATCTCATCTTCCAACTTTGTCAATATAAGGCAAGTAAAAGTCATTTTCATTAATTTCCCCAATATCAAATTTGGCAAAAATGTTATGTGAACAATAAACAGTAGAAGCAACCAAACCTTTCCAATTACATAATCTAGTTTTGTTTTTTGAACTAGCAAATGGACTTTAAAATAATACTCTTGAATCCTCAGGATTTGGTAGGATTTATTAATTTAAGGATTTACCTGACTGCCAAAAAATAATCAGTTTACCAAAGATTTTATCAACTTAATACAAGATACTCCTCCTGAATCCTAACAACCTTCTATCTATAACATTTCTGGAAAAAAAATAATTCACAGCAAGACAAAACAACCCTTTCAGTGGACATTCACATAATGTCACAACAGCTAATTAGTTAATGCTGGCCAATTAAAGACATACACCAAAACATCTGCCCAAGAATCATTTTTTTTACAGTGAAAAAATGTGGGGGGGTCTTCCTCTAACACCTATACCTATACCTACCTACCTACACACACACACACACACACACACACACACACACACACACACACACACGTAGATGCCACACATTCATCACAGAAATGCTTACATTTATGTACGCTGAATTGTTATTTGAATGGCCACAAGGCAAATTTATAATACCCATGAAAACATTATCAGGTTCCCATCATTCACACATAACTAAGAGACATCTTACAGCATGCCAAATTAATGTGCCCATGACACCACAGATTATGGTACAAGCTTTCTGATGAGCACCTTTTAAAAAATCCAGCCATCAGGGGCCGGCCGAGTGGCTCAGTTAGTTAAGAGCTTGCTTAAGAGCTCGAGCTCTAAGCAACAGGGTCACAGGTTCGATGCCCAGCCCGAGCTGAGCTGCCGTTGAGCTGCCAACAGGTGGCAGAAAGGCTCAGCTAATAAAATTAAAAAAAAAAAAATCCAGCCACCTCTGAGATTTATATATTCTTCTAACTCCTAAGAGTATTTTTTTTCCTCTTACATTAGAAGTTGCCTTTTAAGCTACTGAATCTCTTTTGAGAGGCTGTTTTCCAGTTCTTCATCTCTGATTATCATGAAAAAAGGATCCTTATTTTAATAGAGCAGGCTCCATTAACTCTGCAAAATGCATGACTAAAATTTAAAAAAACACGTTTTCACTTTTCTAAAACATCAACTGACTTTGGAGGAACTTTCTTAAGGCCACAGGTCTAAACTGAACTCTTTTAGAGAGCTTCTAGGAATATCATGTACTGGCAGCACAAAGCCCCAAGGGGAAAACTTCAGGAAGCAGGATTTCAATTCAACACAGGGAGGAGGAGCTTTTAAATCATCAGAGCTTTCCAATAATGGAATAGCTGCCTCCAGAGTGGGGAGTCTTCCCATCAATGGGAAGAGTCAAAGACAATTGGATAAAGAGGCAGAAATGAGATAAAGGAAAATGCTTTGGAGTCAATCAAATCTTTCACTGATTCAGCCACTTCCTATGTGATCATGGGCATGTTCAACGAACTCCAAGGTGAGTGATGGAAGTTATCACACACCTTGAGGGTTGAAAGTCAGAAATAGAGCAGAGGCATGCTTAGCACAGAGCCCAGTCTAGGGTACCTCAAAAAGCACTTTTTGTTAGTTTTATTACTATAAATACCTGGCAGGAAAGCTTTTAGTGACCCTGAGGCTGGAATGGACATGACCAGTAACATGTCTTAGAATGGCTTAAGATATGCGGGGGAAAAAAACTCAAGGGCTCAAACTTACTGGCAGTTTAATTTTATAATTAAGGGCAGTTATCAACTTGAGTATATAATTTCCCACTAGGTGCATTTTTCTCTTCATTCTACCCATACTCATGCTGTTTTGCCTCTTTCCCCCCACTTCAGACTAAACACTAAACTTGCCCTCCTGCCCTCAATATTAATTAACAATTACAAAGCTCTAAAATGGGTGATGTGGTGAAAAGATTCCTAAATTGGGAGATGGGAGGCCTGGGTTTGGTCTCTGGTTCTGCCATTAACTCCCTATGTTCCCTTAGGCAACTCTCATTATTGTACTGCTTTGAAAAACTACTACTCGTAGACATTACCTCACTTGATTTTCACAACCTTATGGAAGGTATCAATACTACTGCCCTTAACTAATAAATGAGGAAATTTATGGCTCAAGAAGTGGAGTGACTTTCCTAGGGTCCCATAGGAAGTAGCAGGCTCAACATCTTGCCAGACCCACCATCCCCTCCACAAAAAGCAAACCTATACCTCTAGGTCTTATTAGAGAGATGACATTCTGCATAAAACATCCTGAATGCATTTTCCTCTCCTACACCAAGACCTGACCTATTCAAGAGTGAAAGCAAGACATTTGTTGTTGGGGCGGGGGCTTCATCTTTTCTTTCTTATTAAGCATAATCAGCAGTTAAAGAGCACAGAGGCCTTGAAAGTGTGTGTGTGTGTGTGTGTGTGTGTGTGTGTGTGTGTGTGTGTAAATTTACAAATACACAGAATATCTTTCCAAGAAGCTGGTAACACTGGTTGCTTCCAGAGAAAAACTGAAGAGCTGTGGAATAGGGGTAACGGGCCCCTTTTTGAATGTAAAACCATATGAATATACCATTTAAAAACCGCCTTTGGTTTTAGGACGAATTTGAAAAAGCTCTGTAAGAACACAAATAGTGTTATAGAATAAGGGTTCTGCAGCTCCATGTGTTGCCGGACGACCCTGGGCAAATCACCTATCTCAAGCCGAGTTTTCTCACTTGTAAAACTGAGTTCTAACCACGACCAGCATTATCTATTATACAAGGGTTTTTGAATACCGCGTAATGCATGTAAAGCGTTTAGCACCGTGCCTGACACATTGGTAAGCCTACAAGAAATGCCAGTAACCATCATTATTTAGCATTAATATCATCTTTATTTCAAGCAGCACCCCCACATACACACCTGTTTCCATGGTATACCCACAACTATGGCGCAGTCCCTCACATTAGCACAGCGCTTGTAGTTCATAAACCACCTCTCCACACTTCATCCTCTTTCAAACTCACGGCAGCCCTGGGACATCACTGTTAACTCATTTCGTAGCTAAGGAAACTGAGGCACTAGGAGGCAGTAACTCCGAGATTCAGTGTTCCCATCTCTAACATCAACTCCAGATCCCTTCAACCCGTTCGTCGCTCCCAGGCTCCCGGAGCCGTGTTCCGCGCGGCACTGACCTGAGCGAGCGCCCCGGGGCCCGGGACCTCGCGCGGAGCTCACACCGACTAGGTGCTCTCGGGCCGACAGAGCCTCGCAGCGGCCGGGTCCGCTCCGCAGCCATGGCGTCTGCAGGCAGAAAAAAGACAAACGGCCCGAGGCGCGGTAGGTCAGCAGAAGCGCGAGTGCCTGAGAACTCCCTCCCAAACCCGGCCCCGCCTCAAATACAGAACAGACCTGGACCAGCCGCCGCCGCTCCGAGTCCGCAACCTCACAGGGGAGCGGCTTCCGGTGCTGCTTGCGTCATCTCCGCGCGTCCCTCCACCCCAGGCGCCCAGCGGATGCGGCTGCACTTCCGGCCCCCGCCTCGAGGGGGAAACAGGAGGGCAGAGGGGACCGTCGGAGAAGGCGGGGCATACGCCGTACGGCCCTCGGCGACGCTTAGCCTGAGGGAACCTGGACCAAAGCTCGCCGCTACGCTGTGTACCCGAATATGTCCAGCCCGTTTATGCACCTCATCCAATCTGATGTTGCTCCAACTCGGCGGCACTTTTTCTCATTATCCTCACTTTATGGAGGAGAGGAAGAAGCTAAGAGACGTGCCCAAAGTGTCCAAAGACGGGTCCACTGAGTACCTATTATGTCCCAAATCCTATTCTAGCGGGTTGTTAGTGAACAAAAATCACTGACCTTCTGCGGCTTACCTCCTGGTGGAGGAGGCAGACAAGTAACTAAGTAAGACACGGTGCAAACTTTAGCAAGTGCTAAGGAGAAAAATTAAGCAAGATAAAGGGGTTCGTGAAGGAAAGAGGGGTCAGATGGTCTCGATTTGAATACCAGCTCTTACACTCTGGCTGTGCCCATGGCCTAGTTACTTAACCACTCTGGTTTTATTTTCCTCATCTTTATAGAGTTATAGTATCCTCCTCTCAATCATTCTGAGGACTAAGATGAAACAAATCTTTCAGTGTCAAGAATTACAACCATGTGCTTCCTATGTGCCAAGTACTCTTCTATCCACTTTGTATGTGTTATAGCACTCAATTACCACAACCACTCTACATGGTAATAGTGGTTACTATTATTACTCCAACTTTAGAGTTGAAGAAACCCAGGTCAAAAGAAGATTTCAGCTCTGGCCCTTTTCAAAGCATAAGTTATCCTTGTCTCTCTGTAAAGGCTCAAACCACACACACACACACACACACACATTCACATGCATCTTATACCAACACTATCCAACAGGACTCACAGCAATGATATTCTCTATCGGTGCTGTCCAATAGGGCAGTCAGTAGCCTCTCATGGCTATTGAACACTTCAAAAGTTCGTAATGTAACTGAGTAAGTAAATTTTTAAATTTATTTTAATGTTGAAATTTAAATAGCCACATGTGGCTTAGGGCTAACATATTGGATAGTTTGGTCCAATTATATAGACATAACACGTAATACAGGTAACACAGTCACACACCCAGTTAGTGGTATAGCACAGCCAAGGCTCCAAACATCCTGAGTTCACCTAGGGTACTTGAAACATGGGGGAAAAAAAATGACCATGTATGGTAGAGGGCAAGTATGGTGTCCTAAAAGTCAGGTGGCAAGAGAGCAAATTTGATTTGGTCAGCAACAGGAAGCCCCTGCAGAGTCCTAAGCCAGAGAGTCACTGTTGACAACGTTATAAGAAAAAATTTCAAAGACATGGGTACACAGATCAGATAAAAAAAAAGTACTAAGGTAATCAAGAAAATCAAGCTCCACTATATATTTGCAGCAAATACTCTCAACCCCAATATGGTAGGAATTTGATAAACTGAAAATTCCAGATGGAGCTGTTCCAGAGACAATATTGTTTGAACTTCTTATGGACAAAGAAACCAAATTCTCTAAGCCCAGAGGAGACCCAGGAGCAAAATTTATGGCTCTAAAAAATGTTGCAAAATAGGATGTTTAATTAAATACCCATAAGACCTATTTAATCATTAGATTTATTAGATGTAAAAATTCCTTTTCTCTTGAATGGTTTCTAAGGTTAGATTTTCCCATTTTATAAAAATTTCCAAGATTAAGTAATGATTGTTGAGAAAGCATAGACAACTTTATAATGAGTTATTCCTAGCCAAATAATTACAAAAACTGCTGTGAATAGCTGATAGGAGAGTCAATATATGAAAATAAAAAGAGGAAATATAGCCTGGTATGAGAACAGAATGGTCAGTACAATTGCTTATATGACAGAAACATGAAAATATACTGGATGTTGTTCTTTTCTTAAAATAAACTTGCTGGTAGAAACAGTATTTGAGATAATTCCTACCCATATATGCTCTAGGAAAATGGCCAACATCAAATGCTCAGTCTCTTCAATTCAGGCTAAAATTGATTACATGTTGTTTTCCATTTTGAGATAAAGTTGCCTGGGAGAGGTAGTTGGATTTAGTAAAGTTCTTGCATGGTCTATATTAGGAATTCAAATTCCTTCCCAATGAGAGATACATCGCACCTCACCATATGTTTCTTTGGGGTGAAAATTTGCACCCACACATGATAACATGCATTCCGTGATGTTTAGTGCACTTCTTGCATGTACATGTACTGGGGGTGGGGGGGCAGGAACTACTCCAACTGTTTTGTTTCTTTCTTTTTTCTATTTCACCATCTTGGCAGATTTCACTCAACTGTTTAGTTTCTTGAGAGACACTCCAAACACGCTGTTTGACATTTCTCCTTGTGTGATGTTGCTGTGGAGAAATGATGTGGGTGAACTGTTCTTTCAACTCCCATACATACTCCACCTGGAACTCAGCATAAAGACAAGGAGGGGTTGGTTTTAAGAGGTACAAAAGACGGGAAGCATTTGAAGAGGTTCGCTTTTTTTTCTTCTTTGTTCTGGATTCACTCTGGCTGTAACATGATCAGCACTTGCTCTCCTATAGAGCCAGCAGGTATTCTGGGACAAAAGCTCAGGTTGATTGGCCAGAGAAACCTTATCCTGAAGTCTCGGGCATAAAGTACTTTACCTCAGTTGCTGTTAGACTGGCGTGATCCTGAGATACATTTGGGCATAATTTGGCATCTGGATGCTATAATTTCCAAAGCTCTGAAATTGCTCACAGACAACATGCAGGTAAGTTTTTTTTTTATAATCTTTGAAGCATTTGTTATCTATTAAAATAGGCTTCGAGAAGGCTGTTGTTTCTTCTCTGTACAAATAATCTGCACTGAGAAAATGGAGAGGAGTTCAGATGATAAATTCAGGAGTTTGTTTTGTTGTTTTTTTCCTATTGAAAAAACATGGAAAAGTAAAAGATGGGAATCAGGATTCTCTTGTGGTTAAGAGTGAGCTTTGTTTGGAATTTGATATGAGTTCAAATCATAGCCCTACTCCACCCCCTCACCCACTGAATGATCTTAGGCAAATTGCTCAACAGCTCAGATGCTCAGCTTAATTTTGAAGAAAAACTATCCGAAAGGGCTATTACCAAGGCTAAATGATTAAGGCATGTAAAGTGCTTAGTGCAGTGTCTGGCCCACGGCAAGTGTTCAATAAGAGATAACTAATATTATGGGGAGGTTTTGTTGATCAAAGCTCCAATTTAAGAGAGATTTAATTCCTTTAATGTTCCCTGGCTTTATTATAATACTGCACATGCTCTTCCAGATGGAAAGTTTCCATCTCCTTTGATGAGGCGGAATAAGCCTGGCACAGGTCCATCCTAGATCTCTGAAGGGGTGCTATGCAGATAGTAGGAATCTGCCCATATTGACAGACATATCAGATGGATTAAGGGACATTGTCAAAACAGACAATGTCAGAATTCAGTATTAGATTAAGTTGAAAAGTTAAACTGGAAGAATGTAAATGTCTGATAGTAGCCATGGTGCAATGGCCAACCAAAGCAACCACTTCATTGAAAAGTAGCCCTTGACCTTGGTAATTAGAGAAGAAACTGATCCAAGTGCTTCAATTCCAGAAAGAACGTCATGTATTTTCCTATAGGCATTTAGCACAATGATGCCACTTGTTACTTTATATCCATGTGTCTATGTCTGATTCCTTCTTGCTTCCCCAGTTTAACACAGCACCTTGTATTATAGTAAGCAGGCTTTCATCCAAACAACCAATATTTTATTCGGTTTCCACTTTGTGCCAAACACTGGACTCAGCAGCACTGGAGAAGAGCAAGGCATGATGCCTGCTGTCCAGGAGGCCACGATCTGGCGGGAGAGACAGATTAGCAAACATAAATAATAACACTTAAAATGATGTACTGCTAAGTGTTATTAAGAGGTACGTAAAGTGTTCAGTGCAAAAGCAAGTGGAAATGAAGCTTGAATGAACATGTGCTCTTTTCTTACGTAGGTGACATTCTGCAGACTTCGGACTCACCAGTGGTGTTTCATCCTGTTTAACGTTATCCTATTTCATGCCCTGCTTTTTGGGGCTGATTTTGTGGAAGAATACTTTCTGCATGCATTGCCTTATGTAAATATGAAAGTTCTTGAAATTAAGGATAAGGCAAGAAAATTGAACATGGAGCCCCTAAGAAGTAATCTTTCCAGATATTATATCTTGAGCCAGTCGGAAGTGTGTAAAGGGAAGAATATATTTCTGCTCTCTCTCATCTTCAGTAGCCCCGGAAATGAAACAAGACGGGACCTCATCAGGAAAACCTGGGGTAACCTGACCAGTGTCCGAGGGCACCCCATTCTCACACTGTTTGCTCTGGGAATGCCTATTTTGGTAACTACCCAGCAAGAGATAGACAAAGAGTCCCATAAGAATAATGACATAATTGAAGGAATCTTCTTGGACAGTGTTGAGAACCAAACCCTGAAGATCATCACAATGACACAGTGGGCTGTGACTTTCTGCCCTAATGCCCTGTTCATTCTCAAGGTTGATGAAGAGATGTTTGTCAATCTACCAAGCTTGGTAGACTATCTTCTCAATCTGAAAGAACACCTTGAAGATATCTATGTGGGAAGAGTTATCCATCAGGATACACCCAACAGAGACCCTAATAGCCAAGAATTTGTCCCTCTTAGCGAGTACCCAGAAAAGTATTACCCAGATTACTGCAGTGGTGAGGCCTTTATTATGTCCCAAGATGTGGCTCGGATGATGTACGTGGTTTTCAAAGAAGTACCCATGATAGTGCCTGCTGATGTGTTTGTAGGAATTTGTGCCAAATCCATTGGCCTCATACCCATCCATAGTTCAAGGTTTTCTGGGAAAAGGCACATCAGATACAACAGATGCTGCTATAAGTTCATCTTCACATCCTCAGAAACTACAGATACCGAAATGCCCCTGGCATGGAAGGAAATTAACGATGGGAAAGAATGCACACTGTTTGAGACTTACTCCGGGCTCATTTCCTGCAAACTTCTGACATACCTTGACAGCTTTAAACATTTTCACATTAGTACCATAAAAAACAATGCCATGTATTTTGGTGATTAGGATTTCTTTGTTTTTCTTATGAGTGCTTTTTAAATTACCTCCTACCTTGTTATAGAAAGCATCCCTCCTTCCTTGTGTTTTATGTAGGTTTTTTTTTGGTTTGGTTTGGTTTTTTTAATGCTGGCTGTTGAATGGCAGGGAGATTTTATTTTTTGTTCTGATGTTTTATGTAGTTTTAATCATTCTCAGAAACCTGCAGTGTTCTTAGTGCCCTGATGTACTACATCATATTGAAATCTCATTTTAAGACATTTAAGTTGGTGTAAGATGCTTTTCAAAATAAAACATCTCACTCAGAAGAGAGGACATTAATTATAACCAAAAGTCTTGTTTCTGTTTACAACTAGTGAATTTAAAAAAAAAATCACATTCTATGGCAATGTCATGACTCAGTGATAGCCATGGTGGCTAATTTTTGAGAATGCTGAGAATGAAAGAAACACCACTAAATAAGGAATTTGTTTAACAACGTATTCATCTTGTCTGCAAGCAGGAAACATTTTAGTACTCTGGGTGGTGGAATTCCATTTAACTTGAAAGTGGCAGCTACCTAGTATATATTAACTTAAACCTCACTAGCATAAAGACTTGGATCTCTAACTTGTGAAACAATTTTCATCAAGTTCACAAATGGGATGCAACAAATTCACATTTCATGTTATGTATATGCATACACTCGGTGTTAATTTCCTAGGGACGCCATAACAAAGTACCACAAACTGGGTGACATGAAACAACACTTACTTGCTTGAAGTTCAGTGAGAGACTAGAAGTCCGAAATCAAGGTAGCAGCAGGGCCATGCTCTTTCTGATGCCTGTCTCTTCTAGCTTTATCCTTGGCTTACAGACACATCACTCTAATCTCTGCCTCCATCTTCATGTGGCCTTCTCCTATGTGTCTGTGACTTCATATCCTCTTTCCTCTGTGCTGAGTCTCTGTCCAAATTTCCCTTTTCTTCCAAGCACACCAGTCTTTGGATTAGGGACCACTCTAATGACCTCATCTTAACTTGATTACATCAGCAATCAAGCAAATCAATGACCTACCTATCTTGAAATAAGGTCACGTTCACCAGTACCAGGGGTTAGGATTTCAGTATCTATTGGGGGGATGCAATTCAACCCACGATACACACTTTCAATTTCTTGTGTACAATGACTAGGCACCAAATCAGTAATTCCCATCCTGGGGTTCTTGGGGATTTTAGGTGTCCCCAAAGTAATACACACTTTGAAAATCCCTGCCGTGACATTTTTTAGATCATATTTTTGGATATGTTACTAAACCATACTGAGCCTCAGTTTACATACAAAATCAGCCTTGTAGGGATTATGGACTAAATGAGGTGTGGCAAGTGTTTAGCATTGGATTTAGCCCATATAAGTATTCAATAAGAGGAAGAGGCAGCATTTAAGAACATTTGTTCTGAGTTAAACAGGTTAGGTTCAAATCTCGGCTCCACTTATTTGCTGTGTGACCTTGTGCAAGTTCCTTAACTTTGCTGTTTCAGTGTCAGGCATAAACAGGATAATAACAGTACCTAACTCCTAGGAGTAGGAGGATGACAACATGAGTTAGTACAGGAAAAGCTTTTAGAACAATGCCTGACACACAGTAATTGTTGGCTATTATCTTCTAAATATAACCAAGTAATAAAAGGAAAACACCTCTGACTAATCTTCAGAAAGCCAGGTTAATATTCTGGCTCTGAGCTGTTGTGACCTGAACAAGGTGCTTAATTTCTCAGGCTCACTGTCTGTGTCTGCAAAATGATACTTACTTGTAAGGCAGTTATGAGAATAAAATGAGAAAATGTATACCAAGTGCCTAACATAAAGTAAATGCTAAGAAATGGTAGCGATTATTAGTAATAACGATAAAGAACTTTGCAACTTTCCCCTAGGCTTTGGTCATATTGAATTACTTTTAGTTCCCCAAATGTCTTCTTGTTTTCGTATCTACCTGCTTGCTCTCCTCTATTCTTCATTTGATTATCTTCAATGGTTCAAGACTCAGAGGTTTTCTTCCCTGGGAAAACTTCCCTCAAACGTAGAATAGGTGTTTTCTGTTTTCCTCCATTAGTGTATTTACTATACGCTATTTTTTTTTTCCTTTCAAACTGGTTTTTATTGCAAGGATCAATTCAAAAATGTTTTTCCCTTCAAAATCTTCAAATTAAAATTATTACATTAGATGATTATGCTATGCTGAATCTGAGCTTTAACACACTAGAAGTCCACTTCAAGAAGCTAAGAAATTTATAGTAACAGCTACTAGAGAAATTTAATAACTTGCTTTAGAAACTATGGTCAAGCCAAAAGGAAGCCTGAATTCTTCCTTTGAATTAAAGAATATAATTTTGCTAAGTCTAATTTATTTTAGTGTTTTAGAATGTAAAAAGTTGCACAGAACAGCTATAATCACTAAATAGACTTCAATCGAACACTCTGAATTTTAGTCTTCATTACACAGGAATAAACTTAAATAACTTTAATTTGAAACATTTTATTACAAATTGGAATTTTTTTTGAGCATGATTTCTGTGCCAAAGTAATAAGCTCTTAAAAATGATTGATTATTCAATATTATATATTAAGAATTGCACTACCAAAAAAAATCTACATTTAAAAAATCTTAGTAAATACCTCAAATATTTAAATGAAAGCACAGTATATTAACAATTTGGAGGTTAACAGCTAAAACTTTACATATGTGCAGGTATCTCTGTTATATATAGACTTAAAATACTTTTTTCTCTTGACAGGAAATGCACAATTTTGAGGACGAGTTAATGTGTCCCATTTGTTATAGTATTTCTGAAGACTCTCATATACTACCCATGCTCTATTTTGTAGAAACTTCTTGGAAAATGTTCTTCAGGCATCTGGTAACTTCAATCTATAGAGACCTTTACAAATTCCACTAAATTGCCCTAATTGCAGAAGTATTCTTGAAATTGCTCCAACTGGTATTATATTTTTAAATGTTAATTTTGCATTAAGGACTATTATTGACAAAGTACCAGCCAGAAGACCATCCAGGTATGGTCACTTGCCCTGAACATTACAGGAACCATTAGATGTTTACTGTCTCCTAGAGAGAGAATGAGTCTGTGGTCATTGCCTTACCATAGATCAACATCACAGTCATTCTATAGATGACCTTCAAAAGTGCCTAGCTAAAAAATAGGACAGGCCTCAAAAACTGCTTGAACACTTAACTGACACCCACTGAACAGATCTTATTCGTCTGATTGAAAAGCTGGAAGAACAAAAATTTCATTCGGGGCCCGTGGAGTGGCGCATTGGTTAGGAGTTGGCTTGGGATGCCAGCTATGAGCAGCAGGACCCGGGTTCAGATCCCACATGTGGGCCAGTGATGCTGTGCCCTCTACAGCTAAGATGGTGAACAACAGCTCAACCTGGGGCTGGGCTGCTGTGAGTCGCCGGCAACGGCGTAGGCTGCAGTGGGGCTGGCCGGCAGCAGGCATGTGCTTTCGTGAGCTGCCATTAGACACTATCCAATGGCCGGCAAGCGACTGCCTCACCCGGGAAGAGCGCAATGATAACACCAATGTGGGCCAGTGAAGCAATGTCCTCCACAACTAGACTAAAGAAGAAAAGGACAGCAACTTGTCTGTTCCCCTCCCCCGATACCCCAATAAAATCTTAAAAAAAAAAATCTCATTCGGAGAAAATGGTCCTAATTTTCTACTGGCCTATTTTTCTCCACGATTAGCCACTTGTTACCTTTGTGATCTTGGGACAAGCTACTTAACTTCTCTGAGCCTCAGTTTTATCATCTTTGAAACAGAGATGCAAAAATTAAATGAGGTGAATTTAGCACTTAGGATAATGTCTAACACTTTTGCCAATGCCAAGCACATCATGAGCAGTAAATGTTTATTAAATCCAAACTAAAATAATAATTTGCATATTTTACTTACTTAAAAAAAAAAAGTTGCAGGTGCCAAATCAGAATGAGTTATGTAGGCCATACACAGGAGAGGCAATCCTCTGACCTCTGACATTAAATGAATAAAAACAACATCATGAAAGAGATTAAACCAAAGTCACATTCAAGGGACAGAATGTTTCTCCCAGAGACTCAGGGATACCAGAGATGGCAGAAGAGAGATAAGCAATCTGGGGACAAGAGTTCTGGTCACTTGCGGTCCATTTTGTTACATAGCAGGGATGGTTTATCAACGTCACCATGGCTTAACAGAAACCTATCTCTAAATTCTGAACTGCTACACTCTGGTAATAAACTCATGCAGAAAGCTCTGGATTGGTGGCTGGTGTGCAGAGTGCTTTGCTGTTTAGAGAGCAGAGCACTGGAAAACAGGTGGGAACGATATTTGTCAGTGCAAAGGAAGTGCATCCTTCGTTAATCAATGAGATGGCATCCTGGTTTACACAGCGTCCCCTCTGTTCTGACGCTGGTTATTAGGGCTCCTTGATCAAATCAACATTGACTTAATGGATCTGAAAAGTTAAAAGCAAAACCCTCAGCAATGATGACCCACCAATAAATATAAAGATAGTTTAGCGACCTTTCTGGTTTAACATGTTATCAGTTCCCCTCCTCTTAAACCGCAACCATTGATAAATAGCAAAAAAGCATCAAAGACTACTAGAAACATGTTTAAAAAGTTTGCTGTCTATTTTTCAAAGGAATAATAGTAACAAAAAAAAATTAAGAGACCTTATTAAAAGTATTTATTCTTAGTATAGAGAACATAATTTTAAGATGCCATATTACTTGTTTTTTCAAAGAATACATATATCCAAGACTCGGAAAGTGGAATCAGAAGGGGGAAAGGATTTAAGAAAAACAGGTGGTGAAGAGAAGCAATTTGGTTCCATTTTGGTTGAAGCAGGTTTTAAAATAAGACATTAAGTCCATGAAAATTTTCCAGGAAGAGAACAAAACTTCCATTTTCTTGAAAAAAGTAAGGCAGTCAAATAAATCTGAAAAACATCTGTTTCAATTATAACCAGGTTTGCCTGCTTTCCTGGTTTCACATTGTATTTCAATGTAGAAAGACAACAAATGTTGGTGATAAAATTAGGTTTGACACTCCATAATTCTGGAGGAGGAAGGGAAGTCTCTTTTTTTGTAAAATACAGAGCGAGTCAAAGGCTTTAGGAGACATTTTGGTCCAAAATGGTCTAGACTTTAGACTCAAGAAGAAATCATTCAGCTCCTTCCACTGCTGTCATGGAAACAGGCTTCACATAGTACGGACCTTCACTCAGGTAAGCTCTGAGCCTCAAATAATTTGGGTTTCCAAAGATTTCTGCAACTGTCTTGGAATTGGCAAGTGCTTTCACCAGTTCATATTTGGCATCCTTTGAAGCTTTGTCATGCTCCACAGACCGGTCCATCACATACTCTACAAAACCTGGACTGTTAAACATAAGTTTCTGAGCCCAGGGTTGGTTTGCAATGGCCTGAAATGGAAGGCAGAAAGAACACAATTCCTCTAAGCCTTAAGAAGTTAAGTTTGTTAGTAGA